TAATAGTAAAGAACAGACCCTTGGAACAAAAATCTTGTTTCATAAACAACAAAACAAACAATCCTCAAGAACAAAACAAAACAGTATGATGGTCAGAAGGTTGGGTGGGCAGGCAGGCAATCTAACATGAAATTGATTATTAACTATTCGTTCATAAAGTTCATAATGTATTATGGATTTGCGCATGTCTGCATGTGGCTCGCTGGGGGCAATGCAATTGGTATATGGTAAAATTTGCATTGCCGACGGCTGCACTGACCCCGGGCTGCATCACGGCACACTGTAACTCTCATTTCCCGCACCTCCACACCACATCCTGAAAAAAAGAAACGCAATTACAGTCATGAGCTCACAGAATTTTTATAGATACTAAAAGTTTCATGAACCAGAACCTATACACACCTTCCTGAAGATGGACAAACTTGCAAGTCAACCGATTGCAAAGCTGTCGATTAAAATCTTGGCACACCGGGAGGGTGTCCAGTAACTGCAAACAAACACAAAACAAATTTTTATTAATCTGGAGAAAACACATTTTGAGTAGTATCTTAGCTACTAATACAACCAGACAAAATAACACATGTTGGTTGCCAAGTTTCACTATATATTTCCCTCACATACATTTGCTTATAGCCCAATTCCTAGACACTGACTCAAGATTCCTATACCGGTTACGATTTTAGAAATTATATATGACTCTTGTCATTGATGTGAAGAGAAATTACAAGTTTTACATTTATCACCAAAGTCTTACTTCAAAATTCGCATAACTGACTATCCTGATAAAATTCAAACACAACAATATTGAATTTGAAAGCAAAACATTTGTTGAAAGGTAAAAGAAAATTTTGAGGCATTTGTTACACAAAAAAAGATAGCTACCATAGAAGAGAATGAGGATTCTCATATTGTCATGCAGAAAAAAAAGTGATGTTTACACATGCATTCTAAATGGCAGCAGGAAAGAAACTGCATGCAAAAGAGCGAAGGCAAAACAGTAGCAACAAATCTCACTGACCGGTCATAAGAACCACAGCAAGAAAGCTCAAAAAATTTAATTTCCAATTCCCACACCAAGAGTAAATTAAATCAAAGAGAATCAGATTCTAGTTTGGAAATGTGTTTAGCATAGTGGAAATGAATTAGATTAATTTTCAAGATTAAAAATTAAAATGAGATGTTAAAGAAAGGCTAAAAAGATTGATTGATTAAAGAAAGAAAAATGAAAAGACTTCTAACAGTTATCATGATACTTGCTGAAAAGTGAAAGTGTTGTTGATTGTTTGATAATTTCATATTGTCAAAAAAATAATGCTTTAACCTTTTTTTTTCACTAAAACAACAAAAAATTAATCAACACATTGTTTTTAATTAATTGTCAAGAAGTAAGATATAATGGACTTACAAGTATGAGACAAAATATACCTGTCCTTGGTCGTCAGTGTAGATCACATAGGGAGCATTTGTAGGACTGCAAGCTGGAGCCGGACCCACCATGCAGCAGCAGCAGCGTCATACAAAGCATTCGAGCGAGCGTTCCATTCAGCATTGGTGTGTGCAGAATTGCACGGCAAGATGTGGCAAGTAAACAAACAGACAGGCAGATGGCAAGCTTGAAATACAACTGATGTGGTCAGTCGTCAGCAATAATAAAAATAAAATAAAAACATAAGAAACAGCGAGAGATGAAATGAGCATGCATTTAAGCTACCAGATCCAGTCGGTTTCATGCTGTATATGAGAGTGAGAGAAATGTCATTGTATTGTTCATTACCACAGAAATCCATTAAAACAAGTAAAAGTAGTAATGCAAAGTTTGGTTTAAAGTAAGTTTTAGAAATGACAGCCTTCAATGGAATGCATTAAGAGAAAATAAAAGGCCCATTTGTGCTGAAAATTAACATTTTCTCCATTTGTGGCAAGGAGGCATATATTGAAGAATAGTCTTCTATGGGAGGGAAAAGCTTTTCACCTTTACGCAAACTTACATTAAAGGCATTAAGTTACTCTTGGAACTGATGAGGCAAAGAGGACTAAGAAAAAAGCAAGTGTATTGGGAAAAAACAGCAAAAGTAAAAGGTACGTAGTGATTCAGAAATCCATATGAAATTCATAAACTGAGAAGTCACTAAGAGCTCAAACGCACATACTTAAAACACAATTGAACCATTTTCCGGGGTAGAGAGGGTAGAGTAGGATGTAAAGGACAGTTAACCACTGGACATGTCTCCACTTTCCATATCTACAGTAAAAATCAAAATACAGCAAAAAACCAGCTTGTTTGTGCTTTCAGAAAGAAGTAACAGAAACCAATTAAGTGCTAACGTTCATAGGAGGAAGCAAAATAAAAAGGAAGTTGTAGAAGGTGAATATTGAATATTAAACCACATTCTTTCCTTACAGCTTTGAGCGTTGCTCAAATACCTGAGCATTGAACTTCAAGACTTTCAAATCAAGAGAAAACGACTGTTATAGGTACAATTCCTGATGAACTACATTGAGGAAAACTAGAAGAAAGAAAATAGCTAAGACAAGTCATTAAGATAAGTGTTCTGACTAAACTCTAGATATAAATGAAAAACACATCAATGTAATCCTGATACAGCAATAATAATTAATCCAGATGTAATGACTGTCTCAGAAAGACTGGGTAATGCAGATTTTCTACCAATATTGTAATTTTTAGATTAATAATGCTGCTTCAGATACGTACTTTCAAAATTTAAAAGAGGTGTTTGGTTACATCAACTCTTCACTAGAGCGTGCTCTCATATTTAAGACAGGCGCATATGTTACCAAAAACTCACGAGAAATACTGCAAAAAATATCAGTTTCTTCTCTTTTAACAAAATAGAAAGTCAAATGAGGCACCAAAACAGATAAAGAGACAACCGTGAAGAGGAATAATGTTGGAAGACGTAGGAGGAAAATTGAAATTTTGTTATTTGTGTGTGGACAAGTATCTTGATGTGAACTGCAGCATGTCAAAGCAAGCAAAACTAATTCAACCTTTCACCTTATCTGTAATTTTGATTCCATGTAGCGACATGCACAGACACAATCGGTACCAAAAAAAAGAAGAATAAAAGGCAAATTTTGTAAAGAGTTTAGCATATAGGGCAGTGCGCGGGCACATAAAAACCACACACAAGCGCGCGCACACACTCACGCACACTCACACACACAAACTAAAGATATTTGGGAGAAATGGATCCCAAAAGTATAGCCCAAGAATGACTTTCACTTACACTGCTCCAAAAGACTGAGAATGACTACAGGACAAATTAATATTTTTTAAATGAGCAAGAAAACAAGGAAATTAAACATTAAGAGATTTGATTTATTAGAAAGCACTTTAAGACCCCATTCAAATCCGACAATGAAATTTTAAAAGTGAGCCCCATAGAGAGACTGTCAAGAAAGGACTTTTTTTAACTCTTTTCTTTTTGTCAAAAAATAACAATATCTACTAGACATGCTGATCTAGCATGCTGACTTTCTGTAACAACAACAAGATGCAGCTGAAGCAATATGTATCCCAAGAATTCAACACAACGATGCTGAAATGTATGTTAACCAACACCCATTATTACCCATTACGGCAGACTGTTCCATGGGTCTGGCTGTGTGATACAGGGTGTCAGGTAGGAGTGGCTGAAGGTGGCGAGTGGGTTGCGGTGGGCTGCAGAGTGGGCGGGCGGGTGGTTAGTTCTAGACCTTACCTCCACGTGCACCATGGCCAGCGAAGCGAACGCTAAGCTTCACAGCAGCGCAAAGAAGGGACACAACACGGGGAACTGAAAAATAAAAACTCTCTTCCATGGGCCAGATTAGAGGTGTACCGATGGCCGGAATGATGATGCTCCGTGCAGTTGCACAGCCCAATCAAGAGAGAGTATGGAAACTGTGGAACAAATTTGTTCCTATCAGTGTTAAATCTGGTTAAGTAGTTCTTTACTGTGTTGATAAGTTACGGGAAGAGTTATCGTGAATATTTGTGCCAATTCTTGCCGATTGTGTGATCCTCGCTAGGCCATATGGAGGCTTGTGAAACTGAGTAAGTAGGATTCTGTTCCAAGCAAGTGTATCCAACTCCACCGCACCCAGCTCAGGTCTCAGCATACAGCTACAAACACCGCATTCAAGAACATGGCAAAAACGAAGCATTGAGGCATCTTACAGTAGCAGGAATCTCTACTCCTTTCACACACAAAGTCATTAATTATCAGTAACAACAAGCCCCCTAGGGCATTAAAGACAGAAAGAATGTACAGTGTTCACAGCAAACACACATCAGGTTGCCATCTATAATTTAGCAGAGCTGTAGCATAGCGACCGAAACATGAGCTGTGTCTTCCTAATGAGGCGTGACCTCTCAACAACTAAAACACATCATTACACAGCTCATGGCAGAAAGTTCTCTCTATGGTGAATAAAAATAAATAAAAGTATAGTGTGTGTTGGTAGCTTCAATAATGAATAAAAGCATAAAAAAAATTGCTAATGAGAAAAAAGGGCGTTAGTCATTAAGAGGTCCGCAAATATGTGCATGTGTCCACTATTAAGCACACAGTACGCATCAAGACTTGTTCTTCATTTCCATAGAGTCACACTTGAATGTATTTTTTTGCTCACTATCATCATTTGGAAGGGTAGAGGAAAGATGCATGTGGAATAATAAACAGTGTAAGCCACAGTAGCAAATAAAACCTCCAAAAAACAGTCTCTATGGCTGGAATATGAGATCATAGCTAAAAGTCAAAATTTCTCTGTCCAGTCAATAGCTTGCTCTCTCCTAAGGCAAAACGCAATAAATTTACCCCTGTACAAGGCCCAGCTCACAAAACCTTTTTGGTAAAATATGGAGAAAAAGCATACAAGTAAATTAGACAGTCGTAATAACTAAAAACAAATAAGCTAGATGATATATAGCTCATATATGTAATAGTGAAGCAACACCTTGTTGGAATAGACCACAGAATATGTCATAATTGTGGTTTAAACAAATTAAAGAGCCCCTCTCTATATAATTTACAGAAGGATAGCATTAGTAAAGATTGTGAGCTGGGCTGATAGGCAGATAGCCCTCATAGTACAGAAAGCATTAATCTTAAAATGAAGCTTAAGCATTGGAGTGAGGGAGTGGGAAATTAAGGATGACTCTGGAACAAAATTAGGAAGATAAGGGAAGATAAAAAAAGAAATGTAGCAAGTAGTAAGATGGAGCTCTGATGTTTAAGAGATAATAAAGCAGGTCTGGAGAGAGCAAACAAAGTATAGTTACTACAAGATAGGCAATGCACAGTGTGACTTGCGTGTCTGGGCGGGCTGGCGTGATCTGGCATGTGGTTCAGCAGCTTAACATTTCTACGCTCAGTTCCACAATCCATCCAACCTTTCTTCTGTAAAAACACCCAAGACAATTCTGGTACCGCTTGTCAGATAGGATGCTAGTAGTGTAACTGCCCACCCAAGCTCAGAATTGAACAAGAGCAGAAGCTTTCTCAAGTTATCAATACAATTCCAAGCCTTGCTTAGTCTCCTCTGGCCCAGCCACTGAAAGCGGAATGATTCAAACATAATGTGTTTCAACTGAATAGTGAAGGCGAAAGCATCCTTACTACAAAAATCATCGGTACCTCACTAGTCTGGAATGAGCGGGAAGGAGAGGACTTTCAGCTAGGGATTACTAACAGGGATGGACAGAAGTTTTCAGAGAGTGAGAAAAATAGAAGCATTAATAAAACAAATAAACATGCATTTTTCAAGCATTATTATTACAAATACTGTTTGGTGTTTATAAGTAACTTGCTCCTCATATATGATCTTCATTTTTACAAGACATCAGAATGAGCAGTATGTAAGGAGAGTACAGTACAGCATAGAACACAATCAATGTGGGAGTACAGATCCAGTATGCAAGTACATACAGAGGAGTATACATGTGAATGGCAAAAAAGCGTGACATATCAGGCAGCCACATCATCAGACCACATCTTTCTCATGAAGAAATTAAAAACAACCCAAAACCAAGATGTACATTCTCTTTGCCCTTTAAGTAATGATGATAATAAAAGTCATTTCTTTTTTTAAATAAAAAAAAAACAACAAAACATTAAGACCAGGACAGCGCAATGCAGAAGGCACTTTGGTTGTGAATGCTACCCAATGCCAAACCAACTACTCATTGAGCGCACTCAGGGCTTAAGCAGTGTTCACACAGGGATAATTTTCATTGAATGCAAACTTAAAAGCAGTTGAAAGTGTTTGTGGACTTGCAGGGTCAACAGGACTCGCAGTGTGAGTGTCAATACACTCTTGGCAGGCAAGGGCATCTACGCTCCCAAACACTCCTTACTAGGGAAATTCAGTTCACAGAAGTACGCTAAAGCAAAAAGTTTTCAAATGTAATTGGAAATAAGGATGAAAAGTAGTATTGCGTATCCAATCATTCTTTCTGCCTAGTACATGATTAAGCCCAACTTATTTTCTTCCTACTACTATACCCTACTGCTTGCTAATGGTAAGCACAGTTCCCCTAGTGGTGCTCACAGCTGGTCCATAAACTGAGGATTCGGTTGCATCAAAGCCAGTCTACTTGACTGCCTGAAAAGGGTAAATTTGTAGAGGAATGAGTGATTGGGAGTGCAGGGTACAAAGCATAGACAGAAAGCACTTAAGATTCAAATGGATAGTCCTAACAACAAAATGTTTTGTTTTGCATTAGGAGCATAAGAAAATCCTGAGCTGAAAGAGATACCACAAATTAACTGTGGATTTATATCAATTGGATAAAAGATAGGTCCTCCTAAATCAAAGGTTGACAATTTCCTCTTTTCACTGTCCCTAAATTGCCAAAGCACTTTTTCCATCTTTAACATCATCTTCTGAGTTTTGTCACAACTCGATAACAGCATATGCCACACTCAACATTGCACCATGCGATGCTAAAAATTTATTTGTTGTGTCATACTACGTCACACTTTGACACAAGTAAAGCAACCTAGACAAATGTGAGGTAAACCATACTATAAGACTAATGAGGAACAACACAACACCAGTGTCTTTAAAGCAGACAGTGATAATTGACTACGAGCTTAAGTAAAACTTCAGCCATAAAGAGGAAGCACCTGAATTTTGTGAAGAAATAACAACAGCAGAGTAAGGAAGAGCAACCACCACAATTTACAGATGAGGGTCAGACTTTATCAGATGGCATCGAGGTACATAATGTAAGAGTGACAACCATTGTCAACGAAGTGCATTATGGCATAAAAGAGGAAAAAGCCCCTAATGAGTTGATAAGAAATTTGTGAGTCACACGGGACACACAATGTAATTTGTAAAATCCTGCACCCAGTTAAAATATCATGTTAAATTCAAGATGCTGTTACAAAAATGCTGTGAGAGGTAGACTATTGTAAACTGCTTGCAATTTTATGTTGCATTCAAATGAAACTTGCCCCATATGTGAACTAACCCTGGCTGGAACATTCTGACATCACACAATGTACAACACAGCAAAACACCCGCATTCCACTTTGTTTTCAAGTACAAAAGCCATGCAACAGTTTCATAAAAGCATTGTTCAATAAATATACGAAGAGGTTTGTACCAACAAACCTTCCTGTCTTTGAGAATGTTAAAAGCAGATGACAAGCATTGCTAAAATGCAAGAATAGAAAAATATTAAGTATTTCAACTAAATGAATTGTTTTGCATCCTAAGTGCTGCAGTGGGAACATTCAGAAAACAAAGAAGTAATAGCAACGGACAGAGTGTGATTAGTCAGAGTGCTCCAAACAAACAAATTGAGAGTCCAAAGCAACTTTGCTACCTCCTGACAGTACAACAATCCTACTCCTCCTATTCTGTACTCCGTGGTCACAACAACATACTTTGAAAAACGCAATTATCAATTCTTTGAACAAATAAAACAAGAAGTTTCGAAAATTAAATTAACATCAATAAACAAAAATAATGTGCCTACACACTACTTAAAAATTCATTTACTTTCAACAAATTTAAAATGAAACATGGCATTATCTTTTAAAACTAGATTTTATATATATAATATTTCAAACAACATTTAATGTGTGAATTATATATTCAATGGTACCTCTCATTAAGATCTGAGATCTTAAAAAACCAAGAACAAGTAAATTTAATTTTCATTTTCTTTCCCAATTAAACATTATAGACTGGTTAAATAGGTTTACTATAATAGGAACACTATTCAATTGAACTGATGTACGCTATCAGTAAGACTGGTCTGTTGGAGTGAGAGTCTGGTCTGGGCTCCAGGCACACATACAGTTCGTCACTACAGAGTGGAAAAAAGCAGCTACACGAACAAAGTACTAGACTCAATGAGGAAGCCCAGACAACAGCCAATATCCCTTGTTGCATTAAAACCTAGCCTATCATCATCCATTGCCCGTAAAACTAATTGTAATTCAACATTATAAGCTGAATCTAGCTGAGACATAGGCCTTAAATATCACATACATGCACTGGTTTTTAAGAACTGTTAGAAATTAAAAGCTAAATTTAATTATCAAGTCAACTGGATGGTGGATATTGTCTGAGCGTAACAATGGTTTTAGTCCCTGCACCTGGGACATTCCAGCAAAGGTGATAAGATGCGAAAAGAGGGAGAGCTGAAAGGAAGAGGGCCAGGGAAGGAAGCCACAACATTGCAGGAGAAACCAAGTCTACTGATGATTTGGGCATACAGCATACATGATTGTTGTAACAAATACACACTTAAGATTGAGGCCAATGCTGCTTAACCCAGGAGCGCAAATCAACAAGGGACACACTCCAAACAGTATGGCAACAGGGCGCACCTCTAGTCAAGAGCAAATAAAAATCAGCATAAAACAATAATGTAAAGTGGCCATTAAAAATAGAAACAAGAATAAAAAGAGAATAAAGCTCACTGCAAATCTAGTTCCTTTCCCATCAAACAGACACCACGGTAACTTAAAAGATTTAAAAGACTGGAAATGTTGTGTGCTCATGGATTGAAAAGACAGAGACTGAGACAGACAAACAGATAGAGACAGACTGACAGAAAGACAGACACATAGGAGATAGGAAGAGAAAAGAAAAAAAATCAACAACACAGAAATATAAACTAATACAATCTACAAGTTTGATAGTATAATGTTGTACCATGCTTCTACTTAATGCAATTCAGTGATCCCCCATTTCCTGGCATGCGCAGAACTCAAGTCAAATTTATTGACTTATGATCAAGCAGCATTTAGTGGGAGCAGAACAGGTACTTAAGGTATGGTACACACCACTCGTCCACACTGCACGCTCTTGAGCTATCACACTATCACAGTCCAGTCACCTATCAAACTAGTGCTAACATCTACCAGTTGTCTGTCACTGGTGTTCATTCATTCACACATTATTTCTTTAGAATGCCTACATATATTTGGTAATAAGAACACTAACTGTGTCAGAAAAATTTCAATGAAGAAAAAAAGATTATCCTTATAATCCTTACAGATACATTTACAACGGAAGGATTTCCCACCTACTTAAACCACAATTTTGTAATATGTTAATAAGAATTTATATATTAATTTTTTGTATATATCTATATAGTTGAAAAATCTTGTAAAGTGGCAAAATTGGTACACATCAATTCTCTTTGAAATATATACAGAAAAGTCATCCAACAGTCTGTTTGTACAACCTGTTGTGTGCTATCACACAAAGGCACCTGCCTGACATGCATTTAAGTGCACATGATCAAGCCTTTCTTACATATCGTAAAGTTTATTTCAGTTTTTTTTGTTTGTTCTGCCCTTTTGCCTGAAGAAAAATACTGTTTTCATCCTTCTTAAAAAAAAAATTAAGGTTGTAGAATTTTGACTAGAAATCCAAATTTATTAAGGCTAGGTGGGCATGCAGGCACTTTAAATTGTTTTCATTTTTTTATAAGGCTGAACCACCACACTATTGTTGTTGTACTGAGCGGCCGCACTAGCAGCTAGCAGCCCTTGCGTTGACGCTGCTGACGGCGCTGCTCCGGCGGCTGAGTGAAAGGGGTAGGTGACTGGGGACACCTGAGTCTGGCCTGCTGCCGCAGCCCCCGGGAACATCTGGGGACGTAGCATCCCGAAGGGGGAGAAAAACTGAGGCTGAGGAGGTCGGAAGGGCAGGAAAGGATTGGCCGCTGCCCCTAATTGCGACATTTGAGACATCTGTGACATTTGCTGAGACATTTGCGACATCTGAGACATTTGTGACATCTGCGACATTTGCTGAGACATCTGAGACATCTGAGACAGTTGTGACATTTGGCTCATCTGAGACATGGGCGACATCTGACCAATCTGGCTCATCTGACTCATGGTCGACATCTGGGGCAGCTGGGAGAGGGATGACAGTTGGGTCATGTTGGCGGGGTACCGGACACCTGCCGACACCATTGCGGCCGCGGCCATCGCCGAGGCGCTCGGTGCGGACGAGGACACTTGGTGTACGGCCTGCTTGTTAAGCGACACCCCGGTGTAGGAGAGGGCTGCCAACGGGTTAGCTACGCTCACATTGCTCACACTGCTCGCACTAGTGCTCGTGCCCGACGTGGCGGCTGCGGATACAGGCTGGAGGGCAGAGGAGGAAGGTGTGGGCTTTGGCGTGGAGGCGGTCGCGGTCGAGGTCGAGGTGTTGGTGTTGGTAGGCTGAGAGGAAGGGCCTCCGCCCCCGCTACCGCTACCGCCCTGGCTCTGGCTCTCTTGGTACTCGTCTTTGCCCCCAGCCTCGTTGCTGGCGGTCGAGGACGCGCTGGAGGAGCTCGGGGGTCCGGAGGGGGGCAGGGGAGGCAGCTGGGGGAGCGAAGGCAGCGCAGGCAGGCCGGGCGAGTACTCACATGAAACAGGCACGAACGGCTGCTGCAGCTGCATCAGCTGCTGATAGGTCGTGTTGGGCTGGTACATAGGGAGGCCGGACTTGTCCGCCGCCGGCCGCTTGTAGGGCACCATCCCGGGGAAGGCCTGCAAGCACGAGACGAGGATGAGCATGGCGTGCACCAGGAGCGCGCGGAGAGAGAGGGGACGAGCGGGGGCCCGGCCGGTGGGCGAGGCCGCCCTCGTCGCGCGCCGAGCATTCTCAAGCAACTTGCATGCCATTCAGCACTGAGTAAGAAAAACTGAGCGTTTCACAAAGTAGCTGCCTTTCCTCTTCAAAGAAAAGAATAGATTGATACATTGGAAATAATAATA